ATATATATATATATATGAAAGAATGATAACACAGTTTTTGGGAATATAATAAGGCATACGGCCAGATCATGAAACATCTATCTACTGTTGTGGTTGCGTGTTGTGATTACACCTGTTGTTGCTATCAACAGATGTAATCCAAAACTAAACTACAAATCAAAACCTTCGCCATCTACAACATGACTACAACCACTGCCAAAAATACCCCCTGTATAAAGTATAATTGGAGTTTCTTTATTCTTTTTTTTCTACCTAAAATACTGCCTGTACTTATATGTAGTATATGAACAACTCTATCCCTTACATGTGGATGAGACTTAAACTACAATTCCAAACACACTTTAATTAAAAAAGTTGAACTTTATTAAAATATCTTAAAGACATAGCCATGTCACATACACATCTTCTTGTACACCACTGTCTTATTCACATCAGTAATAATTTCTAAAGTGTAAGGGAAGTGTTAGGGACACAAGCAAGACATTTTAAAGCAGACAAAATAAAAAGGAGTAACTTTCACATTACTATAGTTCATAGATACATTGTTCCCCAGTTCACTTCAACTGGAGTCTATAAATTAAAAACCAAAGTGAAGCTAAGTCACAAAATGTTTAGGAAAGCCTGCAGTCGGACAAGTCTTCATGGCCATTGCCCGTATGGAGAGGCATTTTTGATGGAATAATTAAAAGTGAAATTAATTCACACAATGGCAGAGCAAAACCCCCAGTGTTAATTTTTAGTCATTTTCTGAGAGAACACTCAATGAGAAAAGTATTTACAGACTATTCCTGCTGGCATTCCAAGACAATCTAATGTTTATCAGCTGTCTGAGTCAGCTGGGATCAATAGTCTGACATGCAATAAATCTCAAAGCAACATACAATTAATGTTATGACGAATGCTCACAGGGTACTTGACTTTTTCCAGTTAGTCATGTGACAAGATTAACTTGGAGAAAAAAATACTTCAGATCAGCATGCGTGTATCAAGTATTCCTTTTGTATGACTGAAATGTAGCATCTTCTCTCCTACTGTCGTCAGGACTCTATAAAATATTAACTGCAAAAATACTTTGATTAGAATGTGATTTAACCAAAAATATGACGTTTTCATTTAATGGTGATGGTATGTCAAACAAAACTTTCCTAAACTCTTAATAATTTCACAATGTGTTGCCTCAAAGCCAGCCTAAATCTCACAAACCCATTTTCTTTACAGCTTTAGTCTGGAAAGTTTAAAATGAAGCATGCAACAGCATTAATACATATAATGAAATGAAATTCCTGATGACCGCCCACAGTGAGCAAGGTGAAAACTGTGACTTGGCTTTTCAAGGTTAGAAAAACACGTTGGTCTGTTAAAAGCACCTATTGGACATATTACTTGTTTTAGTATTCTAAAACATTTATTTAATATAATGTAAAATCTTAGATAGAGATTTTACAGTAGTGTTAGATCTTTAGGTCAGAAAAAGCGTCAAAGATATCTAGGTTAACGTCATATCTTGAATTTAAATTTCTTCTTACTACTTATAGCACCAAAATGCTTATTTGTTGTGTTTTAAACTAATAGATACAGAAAGTTTTAAGCAGGCCTGTTGGCTTGTGGCTGTGTGTGTGTTGGTTCAATGTAGTTTGTGTAGTTTCATTCATCTAGGTAGTACAGCGTCAGGTCAAAATGAAACAATAAATTGGACTGTTGCTGTAGAGGCGTTGATGCTTCTCCACACATTCAAGGGGTTACATCAGTTCTACTGGAATTACGTCACCTGTGGAAAGGACATTCAGAGGGAACCTCACCTTTGGTGTGTTCTCAACAGGTTGCCTAAGTCAGGATATTTCTCACTTATAGTCCCATTGTCAAGGCCTCAGTATGCTTCAAAGAAAGGGTTTGTCGGATTTATCAACGTCATCTGAAGCCACCTTTCTGATGACTGGATCGAAGGCTGTGCTGAATAACTTGGACAAACACGTCCACTTTATACAGTGATTGGCCAAATGTGTGCACGTGTAAAAGTAGAACTTATTTATCAAGGTCTTCCATCACTTTGCTTGTGAACATCTGAGTGTAACACCATCAATGCCTTTAAAGAGAGAATGTCGTAAAGTGTGTCCCGTTTTCCCCATTTGTGCGAGTCAACATGCCTTGACTACAACGTGATTCAAGAGACACAAGGTTGTTGGCAAGAGATCAGGGTGGCAGCATGATGCTGCCACAAGGCTACGACTGCTTTTCACCGTGCCTTTCATTGAGTATATTTATAACTAGTAGAAACATTGATTTTAGACGTGCTCAGACAAACTAGTTTGTTTGAAGCATATTGAGGCCTTCGCACCCCTTTTCAGGCGTTTTTTCATCAAATCATGTGACAATAACTTTTATGTAAAACTTCCTGCAGACGTTTAAATGCCTGGTTCTCCCCACCAGTCAGTAGAACTGAAGAAGGCCACAGGTGAGAAACTCCTTCAGTTCTACACCTTCAGTCCAGTGAGTGGTTTCATTTCGACCTGACAATGTCACAAGTTGTTTGTAGGTTTGCTGAAGTTATAACATTGACACCTTTACCCCCACCATGGGACCAGTGCCCCAAAATCCAGAACA